GAGAGAGAGAGAGAGAGAGGAGAGAGATTGGGAAAAGGAAAAAGAAGGAAGGAAATGAAAGGGGGAGGAGAAATTAAATTAAATGTTTCGTAGAGGAGATAGTGATAGATAGAGAGAGACAGATAGGGAGCAGGAGAGAGAAGGAGAGAGATAGATAAAGAGAGAGAGTGGGGGGGCAGGCTAAAAGAATAAGTAAAACCTTTCCTATCCGAATGAATGTTCAGCGAAAGTTTGTGATTTCAAATATTTGTACATCAAAGAAATGAGGGCTTGGAAATTTTGTTCAGCCTTTACTGGCCTATTTTCTTTGTTCACTGACGGATTGATCTTAAGGAGATAAAAGCATTAGGCTTAATGTTTTTTACTTTATTTATTGTGGTTTAGGAACAAGAGCAGTTTTGTACCTGGTGATTTGGAAAAACAAAATTTTAGTTTCTGTTTTTACTTTCCCATCGACACAATTTAGATCATTTGCAAGGCGGCCTTCAAACCCTGCCTGACAGAGTTAAACCGATCTGAGAGGGATACAACAACATCCCAACAGGAAGATTGATAATATAATATGCGCTATGAAATTATCCCCAATTGGGATTTTTTTTTAATGTGTTTTACGGTGCTCGCAACTGCATAAGGTCATATGAGCGCGCGGGATACATTAAACATTTTCAGTGAATAGGAAATTATGAATTTTGCCCGGGTGGCGGCCGAAGCCTACTCTTGTCGATTTTAGACCACCAGGGGATCTTTGACGTGCTCACTTTGCACACAAGATCCACGAGATTTTTCGCGTTTGTTCGAGAAGGCTAGGTGCAGACCTTTCCTACCACAATATACCATAAATTTTGAAATCGTCTATATTGTGTTAAGATCAACACATCAGCGATTTTAGAACCAAAAAAGCAAGTAACATAGACATTCCAGCTGGCTTTTGTCGACTTAAATTGCTTTACAAGGTGTTAAAGTTAAGCGCCCCGAGGAGCGCTGTTGGACAATTTGAACACTTCAAGCTGTACTATCGGCCTGTAGAGTGGTTCGAATGCTTCATTGCTCCCATCCTACCATTAATATCCTGAAAGATTGGTCCCAAGTCACTGAAGTTACACCTGACAGACCCAGACCAGGCAGACCAAAGGTCGATACCACCCAAGAAGACAGAAAAACACTGCTCAGGTATCTTTGAGATCACTTTCTCACAACGACCAGCTCTGCACGTCAATTTCATACAAACACTGAAAGAGGTATCAGCGATAGAAGGATACAAAGGCGTTAAAACACATTTGGACATCGAGCAAGGCAGCCCTGTAATAACCAACGTTTGCCATCTTTCCAATAATTACGCTTGAACTGACTGGGCCTAAAAGGTAGCTCCTAAAACGACAGTAAGATTGTGCAACGACTGGGTTAAGCTTTAATTCAAGAGTGGAATGGACTGCCACAACAATCAATCAAAATAAGAAACAAAAAATAGACTCGATCATACGCAGAACATGCCAAGCTTGCATAATTGCAAAGGGCTACCATGCCCCCTACTGACGTGAAATTTTGAAATCAAGCTTAACACTGTGCCACAATATGAGACTTGATCAAGAGGCAAAAGGTAAAACACTTCTTGACATACTTTGAAATATG